AAAGTTTATTTGCTAAAAGGGTTGGGAGCAGTATCTTGATTGATTTCAGAAACTGCAAGCTCACAAGGACATTTCATTTGTGGGATTTGATTTTGTTGGCTCAGGAAGAGGGGAAAAAATACAGAGGCCTCGGTGATGCAGTGCCCTAGCACAGTGCCATTTGTTACCCACTGCTGATTCTGGCCTACAACTCCCATCATCCCTAGGCACCACAGCAAATTAGGGAGGGATGGCGGGAGTAGTTGGCAGAAACTTCCTGAGGGCCACAAGCCGCCCGCTCCTGCAGTCCCGCCATGGCCACAGGAGGAAGGTGGGCCTCCCCCCGAGTTGCTCCATCCTCTCTTGCCATAGAGGTCTGCCTTGCCCTCCACTGGAGATGTGCAAGGAATCGGTTGTGTGTGGAAAATCTCTCAGATTCTCTTCTTTTGCTTGCTGGACTCTGGTCTACTTTGCTGCAGCCCAGAGTCTGAGCTCCTCGTGAGCATGTCCAGGGTTGGCAGGGTGCCTGCCGGGAATCGAGCCCCAAGTGCCGAGCAAACAGTGTGATTCTTCCATGTCCTCCACAGCTGCTGCCACCAGCAAGCGGGGGAAAAGGCTGGTCACTGGGAATGGGAGTTGGCACACCCACTCTCAGTCCCCCCCCCCCATCCTGCAGCCACTCCTGATGGGGAAGGTTCCCAGTTGCCCAGCTGCGGGTCTGTAGGCATTCGCAGATGTCCTCTTGGCTCAGCTTGCTTTGTTCTGCGGGACAGGGCTGAACAAAGAGGAAGTCTGCAGATTCTGGAGGGATGGATGCCGAAAGGGTTCATCCATCTCCTGGAACTTCACACCAGGATCCACTTCTGACAACCACCATCACAAGCTGGGGGGCTTCTCTGGGGCACTCAGGTGGGGGAACCAGGTGAGAGGTGCTGCCCAGCTGATTCTCACTCCTCTTCTCTTGGGGGCATGTGCCATGGAGCAGCAGGGGGATCAGCTGAGCCGCACCGCTCTTGCTGCAGCGCCATCCCGTTGGTTATCTGCTCCTGCCCCAAAGAAGATCTTCGAGGCAGGAGGAGGGCAGAGGCAGAACATCTCGGGCAGCTGCACAGAATGGCAACTGTTCATGGCATTCTCTGGCTAGCCACTGGGCAAGGGCTGTCTCTCGTTCTGGCCTCCATACTGCAATGAGTTGTGTTTCCTGGTACACAGAAACCATGGCGCAGACTGTTGTTTTCACTGTTCACGGGTGCTAAGGACCAAACGTGCCACTGTGAAATGCCACAACAGGGTTTGGATGACATGTAAAATAAACCCATCATGGCTTGTTGTGCCATGCAAACCTGTCCTTGGTGTCTGTGGGAAAGGCTGAGCTAAATTAATCAGGCTTAGCCTATATTTATGCCAAGGCTTTTCCTATTGCACTGTATCGGTCCGGCCTGGTTGAGAAGTTTCAAGGTCTTTTGCCAGCAATTAGCAAAGTGTGAGTCACAGGTTTGGCCAATGTTAGAAAGAAGAAGCAAAGCAGCATTATGTTTGAGCCACCAAATTTATATCTCAAACTTCTGATATCACAACACAGCAATGGAACCTTCTGGCACATAGCAAAGAATTCAGAATCCTGGTTGAAAAACAATAGCATTTCTTTCCTTAACAAGCTCCAAAAGAAAAACACCACAAAAGCAGTTAAGACAGAATAGACTTCAGATCTAGCATTATTGTTTGCCCTTTCACTTTTGATAATATAAAGGTAAGAGAAGAAAAAAACACTGTCTGAGATCAAAGGTTCAAATCTGAGCATTCTCACATTATGTCTTAGACAGCAGCAGAGAAATGAGGAGCAGAAAAGAAAGGGACAGAAAAGCTGGAAGCTCTCCTCTGACAAATTGGATTAACTCCGTTTTAGTTTTAAACTGTTCAATCAATTATATCTTAACAGTTTTCTTGATCAGGCTGTAATATCTTCTTGCCTTTTCCTTAGTCTTTGCTTTTTCCTCTGGAAAGCTTGCATTTGTTCTGCCTTGTCTTTTTCATATCTTGTTCTGCCGAATACCATGCACCTTGATTCAGCCTGCATCCATAATATTCAAAGAGCCACAACAATAACAACGGGGAAGTTGTGAAACATCTGCCTCCTGCGAATCCAGCGCTTGCTTACACAGCTGAAGCCGGGTGTCCCGTGTCTGAGGAGCTGTTTGAGGAGCTGTTCCGGGGCAATCTTCTTTTTGCAAGTATGGTCCACCTGAAGAGCTGTCGCATCTGAAATGCTGTCGATCTGAGTCTGGTTGAAAGATAGAGAACAGTACAAAGGGAGAGTTTCAGGGTCTTGAGATGGCTCAGCAGCAGGTAACAACTAGAAGAGAAACTGAGCATCATACAGATAAACTGGTCACAATTTCCACCTGGTATGGCAAGATGGCATTTCTGCATATTTTAATTCTGCTTAAATCTGCATATCAATTGGCTTGTGCTAATGGTATGCAAATTGGTGCCCCTTTTGGTCCGCTTTTGGATGAGGCATGTATGCTTTCTTGATGATGCATAAGAGGTCACCCTAAGTGGTGGTAAAAGGCACACAAGAATGCTGTCCTCTTTGTTGAACCTTCCCATATCCATGTCCGGGGTGGTGATTGCAAGCATGCCTTGGATGCAGCCACAGTCTGACCTGCAAAGCTGCTAAGCCAGAGAGCTTGCTTTTAAGTGGATTTTATTCCACAAAATTCATCTGCAACAGCTATAACTATAAACTGAGGGATGCTCCAGGCCCGACAATGCTAGTGCATGGAAATTGCTCCTTCAGCAGAAAACCATGTGCAATTTAAGACCTGGGCTGTTGCATATGGTGATCGCACAGCCACGCGTTTTCCTGCATGTGCACTTACTGGAAAGTGCGGCTGGCCAGGTTTTTTCAGCACAGGTGCAGTTACATTCTGCAAGGAGGCATGTACACAGAGAAAACGAATGCAGGGCACGCCTTTGCGGGGGCTACATCTCTCCCATGCTTGGGAGGAAGATAGAAGAGGGAGCACGGAATCTGTCCCCGGTGCCATGTTAGGCGGCCCATCTCTCAAATGAGCTGTTTCAGCCCAGGGAAGCATGCTGGAGAGCTTTCTTTGGGACGTGCTCCTCCTGTGGGCTCGATGCGTTTGCGAACGAGCAGAAGAAAAAGCTCATCTGATGATCCGTGGGTGGGTGGGACATGGCCTCCCACACATTGTTTGCTGTATGTGATCTAGGCCATATTTTAGGGGAGGGGGTGGAATGCCACAGAGGAAGGTTTTGCAAAGGTTCCAGGTTCTTGTCCTCTCCAGGTTGGGCTGGGAGAGAGCCCTGCCTGAAGCCCTGGAGAGCTGGGGCCAATCCAAGCATCCGGCACTGGACTCTGCAGGCCGATGCTCCCTGTCCATATGAGGCAGCTTCCAATGATATTGAACTGGTTTGCTCAATGCAGCAGGTGGGGGTACTTTTCCACCCCAGGCTCTGACAAGGCAGCCACCAACCCCAACCCTAAGCAGTTCAACAGGCACTCCTGGGGCAGCTTGAGTCATGGTTACATCGGAAAGAAAAGCAAAGGGCACAAGCTGCCGTCCAAACACTGCTTGGACTGCATGGTCGACTAGTCCTCATGGATCTGGCTTGGAGATAAGCCGTTGGCTGGAACCCAGAGGCATTTAAGCCCTGCAGAATAGCGCTCTCCCTTCTCTCCCCATGGCCTGGATATTGGGACGCCTGGTGGCAACGCGTAGCCTTCGGCCACAGCATCACCACTTCCCCAACTTTGCTGTGTGGCCGGTCAAGAAATGATGTCACCATTCCGTCCATGGAAACAGCCAGGACAGAGAAACTAAGCCGCGGCGGGGTGGGAGAAGGAGGGAGCGCGCGGGCTCCCTCACCTGCCTTTCTGCTCCCCGCAGGTGCTTCGGGCTTGGCTAGAATTCACTCCTGGGTTGAGCGGGCTGCGAGCTGCGGAGTCGCCCGTCTGCGAGGCAGCCGCCGCTCGCCTGGACCTGCGTCTCCTCGGATTGCCAGCCTGCCTGCCAGCCAGCCAGCCAGCCAGCCTGCCTGCCTGCCTGCCTGCCAGCCGCGCATCGCGCTGCATTCTCCCCTCCTCCGCTCCCACTTAGGTTGGGAACGTGTGTGCGTGTGCGCGAACGGGAGCCGTGGATGCCTCTCCTTGGCATTCCCCCACCCCCTTCCCCGCTGCAAGTTGGAATTTTCTTCCGCATCGCATCCAAATCTCTGCTGAAGCCTCGGCTCTTCCAAGCCGGGAAGAAGCAGCTGGAGGGGGAGCTCTGTTTGGGGTTTGCTTCTGCCGATTCTCCTCCGGACTTCATCCGCGGCACACGGCATGCTGGAAAGACCGTCTGAGCACTGATTTTCTGCAAAGAAGCGCTTGCCAAGGTAAGGGAACCGGCGTGTCTTTTCAAGTTTCCCCGGCACTGGCATCTTTGCGTGGGAGACCGGGTTGCATGCAGGTCTAGCAAAAAATGCACGACTCTTTCCAAAGAAGAATTGCCATTATTCACCCCCCCACGACCCCGCCACCTCCACCCCTGCATTTTATGATAATTCACCTGCCAGCATGGAGAGGTGCATTTGAAAGGGAAGCTCTGTCTGCAGCAGAAAGCACGATGGGTAATAGGTATTCTACACATGCATGGCAGAAAAAGGGGCTTTGCTAATGAGCTGGTTCAGTGAAGATGCCAGCCATCCGGTGAGATTTGCAGCCTCGCTCTTTGCACAAAGGGGTGTGCAGCGATTGGCTTAACTCCAGCTGCAAGTCCCTTCAGAAAGTCTTCCTAGCTAATCCGAGCATGCACCCCCCTCCCTGTCTTTGCAAAGTGGACAGAAAGATGGGCAATTATCAACACGCTCACTTTGCCTTTGCAAGCAGGCTGCTTATCTCCTCCAAACTGCATGCCGCTTGTGCCAGGAAACCCAGTCATTATCATTAACCCCTCTGCCCTTCTCTCCCTGCTTGCAATTCAGAGCTTCCTTGCCACCATCTTCCTGCATCCAGGATGGATCCGTTCTTTCACACCCAGGCTGGGGACCTCCTTTACATGAGGAAGCTGGTCAATGATTCATCCCTGTGGAACCTGAGCTTGGGTGACTGGTTCCACAACAGGACCACGGACAGCTTCCTGCCCGTTGGCATCAAAGTCACCATTGTGTTCGTCTACTCCATCGTCTGCATCATCGGGCTGGTGGGCAACTGCTCCGTCATGTATGTGATCATCAGGTAAGCACACCTGTGCGTGGCCAAGGTGGGAATGAGCCACGTCACGCAGAAGCGAGGGCTGGGTGGAACGTGGCCCTCTCCGTGGGGTGTGAGGACGTCTCGCTTAGGTCTGAGAACCTCAGGGGTTCAGTAGAAGTGAGAAATTCAAGAGTGCCTCTGGGCATCTGCTGAGTTTCTTTCTCTTGTCACTCCGTCGCTGCAGTTGGTCCCATCATATGTGAGAAGTCTGTGCCTGGTTTTGGGATGCTTACAAAGCTCCGTTTTATCCTCACTACAACCACCTTGGAAGGCAGGCTAGGCTGAGCCGGCCCAGATTCACCCAGGGAGCTTCATGTTGAGCAGGGACTTGAACCTGGATCTCCCAGGGCCCCATTCGAACATTCTCACGACCACACCACACCGGCTCTCGATAAGCACACAGTGATTTCTGAACCACTCTCAGCCTGTTCAAAGCCCTTCCCATATTATCTCAGTCCAATCTTTCCAACCTCCCTGCAATGCAGGCCGAAATGATGGTCCCCATGTCGCCGGTGGAGATCGAAGGGCCGAGCCAATGTGTGAGCAGCTCCTCCGAGGCTGTGTCATCAGCTCTTGGCTGAAATTTGCACTGGGGACCTGCTGGGCCACCCTAGGCTTGGCTTCTCAGAAATAAGCCCCACTAATTTCAATAGGATTTACTCCCACGTAAGGAGGCACGGTGCCTCGGCGTATGTACTAGCTCACATTTCCTGCAAAAAGGGGCATGAGATCAGGGTTGGTTTGGGCCCCGAGTTCTCCAGAAAGGTGCCAGTCTCGTCAAATAGATCTGTATTACTTCGGGTCTGTATCAAGCAGCAATGCCTTTGTCTGTCTGTCTGTCTGTCTGTCTGTCTACTGCGCCATTCCCATAGACTCTGGGTGTCGGGAGAGCCCCTCCCCCTCCCCATCCAAAGTGGGGCACATGGTGGTGCGTGAGGCAGCAGGAGGTCCAGCTGGAGGCCTTTCCAGTGATAAGAGAAAGAACGCACCCACAGATGCCTGTTTAAAGTCATACCTTTTTGGCTCATGTTTACATGTGCTCGGATTACTTGGAAAGAGCTGAATAGGAGAGCCGTTCCATAAAGGTTGCCTTGAAAATGGAAGCAGATCGCTTTGCTTGAGTGTGGTGAGAAACCACGGTCCAAGTCCCTGGTTAGACATGGCTCTCAAAGAGTTTGCGCTGGGCAAAATAGCGTCCGTCTACCTCCTCATGGGGCCATGAAGCTCTTGGGAAGCAGGATCGCTTACAGGAAGTCTCATCACTGTGACCTTAGATCTAAATCCCTCAAACTGGTTCTAAATCACCATAAATATAGCATAGGTTTGTGTGGATTTTTCTCCGTGCCCCTTATATTTCTACGCTACATTGCTGCAGTTTCAAACGTCTGTCTTGGTGTCAATGCATGTAGGCTGGCACGAACTCCTCTGTACTAACAGGAAACATATTCATCTAAATGTTGATTCTTCTGCGGTCTAAATGGCACCAGCTCGGCCAAGGTGTGGCCTGTTGGTAGATGATGCACCTTGGCAGGTATCAACAGGCTGGGAGGAAAACTCAAGTCTGCAGAAGCAGTGCATGAATTGGGCTGAGGAGGAGAGCACCTGAGGAAAGGAAGAAAAGGGGGACTAAAAAGACAAGGATGTTCAGTGTACGTATGCTGAGTCCCTGCAGGGGTGGGGAGAGAAATGGGTGACTGGACGGACCCCTTCTGGTTGTGGGTCTTCTTGGTGTTCTACTGATGACACTTTGTTGCCAAGGTTGGCCCCAAGGGAATGCATGACTGGGCATCCACCTACAGCCACACCTTGGCAAGGGCCCATGGGGAAAAGCCTCTTCCTCTTCTTCGCCTCTGCAAGGGTCTTGCTCCCCTGCCTCTCACCCCAGCCTGGACACTGGTAGTGCTGAGGAAGAGCTGATTCTGCAGCCTCCTTGCTCATGGCTTGCCGCCTGTCACGCAAGCAAGTGGTGGCAAGGAGGAGAAAGAGCTGGAGGAGCTGGCACCAGAGGCAGTGAGAAGGTGGACCCACCAAACGTTGGGTCCTGCATAGCTGTACATCAAGCTTGCATGCAAGTGAGCTATATATCAAGCTCACCTTTGCTAAGCTAGAAAGGCAGGGGCCTGAAGCCAGATTGGTGACCACGTGTAGAAGCAATGCAGAGGGCTGGACTTGATGGCCTGATAGGCCCTTCCAAGTTGACCGCTCTTCCATTCCATTTCATGCTGGGAGCTGTGCCAAAAGTCCTCACAAACGGGGACTCTCACAGCACACCATGGTCCGTGATTGTTTTAGGAACTGAACCATCGGTGTGAGAGCTTTTCTTCATTGCTCATCTGTTTCCTGCTGCCCCATGCTACATCTTCCCTGAATTCATGTTTAGCTTGGAGCATTTCCAAATCTGCAGGCCATCAGTTCGCAGCAGACATAAATCTGTTTGGTTCCTTGCTTAGCATCTTTGTTTCCTCTCATTTTACATGACTGATGTTTTTGTAAAACTCTGCAAAAATGCCTTCCAGACGAAGTCAACTACACGATCGCCTCGATGTGATTTTGTGCGGTGTTTCATCTGCGTGTGAAAAATAACACTGCACAAAAGTCACAGTGCGCAGAAACGTGCCTGGATTTGTGCACCTGCAGTCGCTCCAAGACGGGCTGGTGGGCTCTGTTATTGCAGCATTTTAGAAATGCATGTGTGCACATCAAAAATTTTAAAAGCCTTTGCGTGGGGTGGGGGTGGGGAAAAGAGAAGCCGACGAATAAATGGACTGCATCACTTCGAGAACATGTTGTACTAGTCAAGGGGTCACTAGTTAAGTGGGAACGGAGTTGTTCAGGTGAAGAGCATTTCAAAGGAATCCTTTTAACCAGCGAAAGGATCTTGGAGCTGTGGTGAATATCTCAGTGGAAGTCCTGGCCCAGGGTGTAATTACTGTGCAAAAGTATGGAAAATAAACATGCCAAGATCCATACTGCCCTTATGCAAACCACACTTAGAATACTGTGTACAGTTCTGGTCATTGCACCTAAAAATATTTGGAACATGTGGGAAAAGGGTATTAAAATGAGGAAATAGCTGGACCAACTCCCCTATAAAGATGGGTCACAGCAACTGGGACTGTCGATCTTGGAGAACAGGTAGTAAGGGGAGGCATGAGAGGTGGGGAGAAAGTGGAGAGAGAGACATTTTTCTCTTCCTTGTAGTACTTGGGCCCCAAGGGGTCTTCCCAAAAAGCAGATTGCAGGGATACTCGGGAGATCGAAGGAAGGGATTTTTCTCATGGCACATAGTTAAGCTATGGAATTCACTGCCACAGGATGGAGTGATGGCCACCTCTTTAAAATTTATATTTGTGTAGGAATAAGTTCCTAGAGGAGAGCGACCCTGACTGCTCTCTAGAAGGCCAGAGCCTGAAGATGAAACTCAAATACTTTGGCCACTGAATGAGAAGGAAGGACTCCCTGGAGAAGAGCCTAATGCTGGGAACAATAGAGGGCAAAAGAAGGAGGGGATGGCAGAGGATGAGGTGGCTGGATGGGGTTACTGGGGCAGTGGGTGTGAGCTTAGGTGGACTCCGGGGGATGGTGGAGGACAGGAAGGCCTTGAGGAATGTTGTCCATGGGGTCGCGATGGGTTGGATACGACTTCGCAACTAACAACAAAGGAATAAGTTGCTAGTCCTCATGGCTATGTGCTATGTCCAGTGTAAGCCCACACGCAGGACATACATGTGCCAGTTTCCTTCCACCCATGTTCCCCAGCAACTGGTGTACATAGGCGCACTGGATGTAACATAGATTGGTAGCCATTGATAACCTTCTCCTCCATGAATCCAACCAGGTTGCCAGCAAGGGGTTCGGCAGACCTATTCATTGCACGTGTTTCCAGATGCAGCCAAGAGCCAGCCTAGTACCAGTGACTAGTAGCCACTGGCATCCTCAGATGCACATGCCCAGGTGCTGGGGAACATGGATGGGAGCGGCTGTGGCAAGCGCGTCCCACTGGTGGGTTTCCCATGGGCACTGCGCAACAGACCTCGGTCTGATCTACCAGGACTCTTTTATGTTCCAAAAATTTAAAATTAAAATAAAAGACAGCCCCCTTCCCACAATTATTTCTTATCCATTTAATGTTTGCTCTGCCCTTCAAAAAAATGTTCTTCGCAGCTTAGCCAGTGTCCGCTCCCAGGCTGACAATCTAAATCAGATATGAGAAAAGCAAAGGGTGGGAAGGGGGAGAAAGATTGTGCCGTGGCTGAGATGGCTTCCATTGCCTGGACGGTTGGGGTTATACCTTCTGACTCTGCTTAGACTTCCAGGCTTCTCCTGCTGGGTGGGCGTGCGCACTGCGGGACCCTGCCTCTTCTTATTTGGTTCCCTGGGCATTGCTTAGGGTTAATCGGCTTCTTCTGTCTCCCCTCCTTTTGGGCCGAGGAGGTTCTTTCGAGGTGAGGCCCCTCGGGTGGCTGTTGCGGGAGGAAGGGGCCAACAGTGGAATCTGGATGCTGCAACTGCAACCGTGCTCTCTGCTTGGCGTTTGGGCAAGCAGAATGGTGGCAAAATTCCTCCAAACCTGGAGAAATGGGAGCCAATCCGGGGGGGCTTGCTAAATTCTCCCTCTCCAAATTCCTCCCTTTGGGCCGGGGCTCAGAACGGCCTGATTGTTTTTGGTGAACTGGCATGAAGGAGCGAGTTAGCCAGCTTGCATGCTTCCATTTTAGATTCCAAGACTTTGCCCAAACGATGGCCCATGCGCCATGCGCTGCGTTTTCTTCCCCTGTTGATACTGATGTTCCCTCGTAAGTCACCAGCGTTTAAGAGCATTGCTTAAATCTTGGGGGGGGGAGGGGGACACAGAGACCCTCCTCATGCCAGGGTGTCACCATCTTTTGTGCTGAGATTTCAACTCCTTTCAGCCTTGTCCTTGTAGGTAGCTGAAAATACTGCAGCCAGAGAGAAAGACGGGGAAGGGGGTTGCACTGATG